GGAGGTCCAGCAACACCTGCTCTAGCTGATACCGGGCTAGCAGCCAGTCTGGAGGACTCCTTGAGAGGACTCGCCCCTACCACCCCCGGCCGCCGACGATGACGCCTTCATGAACGACATCGACCTCGATAACCTTGGCGACGACTAGGCTGTACTCGTCGCCCCTCAGAGTGTGTTTTTGTTTTAGACTTTTTATGCTTGCTCCATGTGTTTGAGGAGCTTGAACTGAGTCTGTCGTTTGGTTTTGTACTTTTGGTTTTCTTTTGTGGATTGTCTTTTGTGTGGCCATCTGGGCCAACTCTGATCCCTAACGCACAGTGTGCTAGTGTGTTCTTTGTATTCCCTTCGTGCAGAACTGTCCATTCATTCCTTATGTTCCCCGCTGACTGTTCCACTTCCAGTCTCCCGCAGTATTTCAATCCGGTACATCGTTCCCCATATCTCTCCCTATGCTCCATTGAGGGCAATGTCGTGCTTAAGTGTGGGGGGGTGCTTTGTATCGGTTGGAATCTATATACGTGTGCTTGGAGCCTAGTCCGCTGTCCAAATCTAGTTCAGGAGATCAGAATGAGAGATAGAGCATATAGGTAGCCATGTGAGATTTGAGCCTGCTCGTTTCTTTCTTGTGCGATAGTTCCCTCTTTCATGATGTGTAGCATTCACGTTGTCATTAGCTAAGATGATGGAGGCATAGGATTAGCCCATGACCAAATTGACTGTCTTGGTGTGTCATACCCCCTAGTCAGCCCATTTGAGCCGTGTGTTATCCTTTCTTTCGGTCTACAATGAAAAATCACCCTTTTGCATCTCTTAGAAGGTTCCGCAGAGTGGTTTTTACATGTTCTCTGCTTTTTCTGCTAAATATAATGTGAGAGTTGGAGGTAGTTCTTAAAAAGTTGGGCAGGTGTTTGAAAAATGTGCAGAGGTGGTGGTTCTCTTAAGAAATGAAAAAAATGAAAGAAAAACAAAGGAAAAAATGAAAGCAAAAGAGAGCCACCACCACAACAACCTGAATAGTGTCCATTAAGTAGTGTTTCTTAGCAGTCTGGCTTGGAAATGCTAACATTTATATGACCTCCTTCGCTCTTGTGCTCTAGAGAATCTGAGTAATGCAGAATGGCAGAAAGAAAGTGAGTGGTTTGAATGGCTGTGAATGTGTTGGGTTTGGAATTGTGGAACCTTGTGTTATTAATACTTCCACCACCTAAAAGGTCTTTTCCCCATGTCCAAGACCCTAGCCAGTCATCTGAACCTGTGTCTAAGACCTCTGGATTAGTTAATGGTGACATCCCTTATGTGAACTCTAAAATTTAGAGGTTGCCATCATGGTGAAGAGACGTTAGGGATTGAGAAAATAAGCATGCGCATTTTTCGCATCAAATTGTCCCGACCCCACTGGTCGAGAATGAGTGATTCATTTTCTCATATTCTCTACATTCGTGTACCCCGGTGAGGACCTAGATTGCTCGGTTTCTATTCTGATATCTTGAGTTTTTTGCATGAGGTGACTGTCTTGAGTAAGTGGTTGAGTCAAGTCAATGTTGGTTGATGAACAGAAGGGAGACTCCTCCTTTACTCAATTTTGCTGCACTCAAATGTCCTCTGTGGGTGATTTTTCCAAAAGTAGCACTGTTTAAAAAAAAAATTCCAAAAATAGCACACAACTCCGAAAAATTCCAAAAATAGCGCCCTTTCTGCAAAATCGCCACCCGTACCAGCGGTTTAGGTGAAAACTGCCACCCGGGGGCGCGTTTTTCGATGAAAATCGCACTGGCAGGGGACGGTTTTACAGACCGCACCCCCACCATGCGGTTTGCTTTTTTTTTTTAATCCTAACCTAGGTGGAAACTTCAAACGAACGTATCTTTGTGTTCGGTTATCCGATCGTCGCGAATTTTTTTTTATTCCGCATAACTTTTTGAGATCTTGCAAGTCAAAGACTGCCGAAGGTGGTTTGGTCCCTCCTTCGTCCCAAAAAATGTCGTTAGCTACCCCGAACGAGTTTTTTTCCGATTTCGTCAAACTTTGGACAACCATAACTTTGTGCTCCAAAATCCAAACGACATGATTTTTTTTATTTCGCATAACTTTTTAAGGACTACAATTTTTACTAGGAATGAATTTTCAAAACAGAAATTATTTTTGGATATACTGGATTTTGGGATTAGCTTACCTTCCCTTCTCAGCAATCCACGTACATATTGAAATTATGTCTATGATAAAAGTTGTATTCCTAAAAAATTTATGCGAAATAAATTTTTTTTCATGTCGTTTGGATTTTGGAGCACAAAGTTATGGTTGTCCAAAGTTTGACGAAATCGGAAAAAAGCTCGTTCGGGGTAGCAAACGACATTTTTTGGGACGAAGGCGGGACCAAACCACCTTCGGCAGTCTTTGACTTGCAAGATCTCAAAAATTTATGCAGAATCAAAAAAAATTCGCGACGATCGGATACCCGAACACAAAGATACGTTCGTTTGAAGTTTCCACCTAGGTTGGGATTTTTCAAAAAAAAAAAAAAAAACAGACCGCATGGTGGGGTGCGGTTTGTAAAATCGCCCCCTGCCAGTGCGGTTTTCATCGAAAAACGCGCCCCCGGGTGGCGGTTTTCACCTAAACCGCTGGTACGGGTGGCGGTTTTGCAGAAAGGGTGCTACTTTTGTAATTTTTCGGAGTTGGGTGCTATTTTTAGAATTTTTTTTAAAACAATGCTACTTTTGGAAAAATCCCCCTCTGTGGTGGTTGTCCAGGTTGCTATTGAAGTTGTTCATGTGTTGATGTTTGAAAGCCAGTATTATTCACGTGTTCTGTGCCTATATGATTTGTCCCCAATGTTGGTATGATTGAAATATGTGAGCTTACCTTGTGTCTGACTTGGTTTGCTTGGGGACAAGCAAACGGTTAAGTGTGGGGGAGTTTGATAGACCGTTAATTGCACATGTTTTTACCCCTATTCTTGAGCCGTTTGAGATGTTGATTCTCGTGTTTTAGGCCGATTTCACGCTAGGTTGTTCTTGTTTGTGATATTTCAGGTCCTAGTACGTGAATGAAGGTTTGGGAGCGAGTTCGGGATCGATTGGACGAAGATCGGACGTGTGGCGAGACGCTGAGGAAGCCACACGGGCACTCCTAAAACCCACACGGCCGTGTAAGAAACCCATGTGGCCGTGTGGGATTTACCGAGGCTTCACACGGGCATACTGGAGATTCCGCACGACCGTGTGTCCCTGGCCATGTAGGTAGCCTGAAGACCACTTAATCGAAACACCGCATTTTGACACTCACACGGGCAGCTGGGTAAGCCACACGGCCGTGTGGCCTACCTGTGTGAGTCGGGAATTCTGGGTTTTAACCCAATTTCGAGCCACAAGTGAGGGGATTGACTTTTCAGAGCAAAAACAGAGCCCTAGAGAGAGAAAGTGCAAAGAACACGCCCTAGAAGCAATCTTGGAGCTGGATTTCATCAAATCGAGCTTGGAGATCATCATAGGAGTGAAAATCATCATCCCAGAGCAGATTCTTCCCATTGTTATGAGTATGACTGCTTTGTATTCTGTTTCTCTCTCTCTCTCTATGGAGTAGACCCTTATCTCACTTGGGTATGAAGAACCCTAGTATCATGTGTTAGGGATCATGATTGTAATGACTTGGGATTGCAATACTGTTTGGTTTTAATCGAATGATGCATGATTCATTGAATTGATTGAAGTCTGATCAGCTTTTCTTGATTTCTACTACAACCTGAGATAGATAGAATCTGATTAGGTTGTGAGAGCTTCTTCATTCGGTAGTAGTAGATTGGCTATACGAGAGTTAGCCAGTCTACTGCTTTGTACTGGAATCCAATTCCAGTAGTGGAGTTCTGTGCTTATTGCTTCAGCTTTCTATCCCGGTGAAGACTAGTCGTTTGCCGGGTAGTTTGACGAGAGGGCTTGGTCAGCTTAAGAGATTCTAAGCTACTGTCGGATCTTCCGCAGTTTAATCAACAGTAAATCAACCCAGGGTAATTACAACTGAGACCTAACTAAGGAGCTAAGGGGACTCATTCCCGAGTGACTCTTCCTTTGCTTTAGAAAACCGAACCATTTCCTGCTTTCTTACTGCTTTTAGTTATAACCACAATCAATCAACTTAGTTTGCTAGATAATAGATATTCACGGAGTAGGCAGTAGATCTAGACCCCGGGTTGATAATTAGACTTGCCACTTTACTGCATTCCTGGACTACGATTACACTTGGTCGCAGTTTGGTGTTGTGTCGTAGCGTGTCAAGTGGTAATTTTTTGCAGGTGCCCGGAGGGAGTCTGATTCAAGGATTTCACCGGGGAAAGTCTGTCGGTCGGAAAGGTAGCCGGTCGGAGTAAAGTGGCTGCTGGAAAAGGAAGAGAGACATAGGAAGAGAGAGAAAAGTATTTATTGTAGGATTTAAATTTTAAAAAAAACATGTATTTAATATGGATTTATGTACATAATACAAAAAAAAATATTTATTTTTTTACACCCAAAATGCCTTTGGTTGTGAATCTCACAACCCCCTTAGGGGAAGTGAGCGTATTCCGACCCATGTTTTATGTTGCTATGATTTGTGAGGATTCACGATGGTGGAACTCAAGAAGTGATGTTAGATGAAATGACGGATTCGATAGATCATATGACGTAGATAAAACTCTTATTGAAAATGACTTTGATGTAATTTTCTTTAGGCAAAATACACCTGTGTAGTTAAAACTTTGAAGATTTGGCCAAATATAGCCACTTATGGCGACATACCAAAAATAGCCACTTCCGTCCAATTCTTTGATGGTATTAGTTAACTTGCTGACTGGACTAGCATAAGGGCTGATGTGACGACATTAGTTAACAACAATGCCCCGTGAAATTAATTAAAAAAAACAAAAAAAAATTAATAGAAAAACGAGTTGTCCATTGTTCCTCTCCGGCCTCGAGACCGTGCTGAAGACCAACGCCGACTGTCTCTGTCAGGCCCTCAAGAGCAGCACCCTGATGAGGATTCACCCTTCTTTCCGCTTGCAAGCTCAAGACTCCTCTTATATTCAGTTGCCAGCGTAAACCACCCCCAATCCTTTCTCTCCCTTTCAATTTTGTTTGTTTTTGGAATTATGATTCCTTCGTAATATTTTTTATTATGTTTGTGGGTTTTCTGAGATATGAGGAAATGGGGGATTGTACGATTTTTCTTCTGGTTTGCAGTGTCCATGGCTCCTTGAGAGTTGTGTGTCCTCCTTTCTCATGTACTTGGAGCCGCCGGAGATTTACCTGCGGGCAAGGCTGAACAGGGTGTTCTGCAGCTCCTCGTCGGCCGACTTTGTGTGGGAGCCAAAACTTCCCTCCACCTATAAGTTCCTGGTGGATAAAGTACTGGGAGAGAAAATGGCGCCGGAGAAGAGAACCTTGAGCAACCAGAAGGAGCTTTTCATATCTGTTTCCACCGACAACACTCTGACAACCCTTCCCGAAAGATTGAGGTTCACACCCACGCGCAGCGTAAGGAAGGAGATCCCTCCCTTCCCTTGATGGCGAAGATCGGCACTAAGCAAGATCTGGCAAAGATCTGACGAGCTGGGAGAAGACTGGCGATGGGCGACGATTGCGGAGATATTTGACGAATAGGTAACTATCTGGGAAGTCGACATTGCGGCAGAACCACCATCTTATCTCCTTCACTAGCGTTGTTGTTGTCGAAGTCAACAAGTCAGAGTCATCGCCTGCCTTTCTACATTGCCGACGCCGGCCTCATCCTTCGCTCCTCCGCACCTGGGATTTTAGAAGATGGTGGTTCCTGAATGTTCATCCCCAAATCAATTGGTTTGGGATTCCTCTGTCCCTGGCGAGAGGAACAAGATGAAAAGGGATTTTGTTTTTCTTTTTTCTTTGTAATCTCGATTAATCAAATCCCCCCCCCCCCCCCCCCACCCCACCCCAGATTTAGGTAGGGTTAAAAAATGACACCTGTCACTAAATGATGAGGTGGAAACGAAAGAGAGTGTGAGTTGGCAGCCAAGTAAGCATTTCGTTAATTTGACTAACGCTGTCACTGACGTTGTCAAATTATGTAACAAAAATGGCTATATTTGTCATCAAATTTTCGAAATTCTGACTATTATTGGTATTTCCTTAAAAGTGGCTATTATTGTCATAAACGTTTAAGTTTTGCCTACATAGATGAATTTTGCCTTTTTTTTACATTTACCCATCACAAGTATAACATAATTATCCATTCAGGAACTTCTAAGAACCTTTGATTACTGATTCGACTCTACTGTCACTCCAGTAATTGGCCAAGTGTAACCACTTCCTAAAGCGTAGTATAGCGGGTTTAGGTTTAATTATCAACCCGGGTCCTAGATCTGATGACTACTCAGTGAATTCTTGTTATCTAGCAATGAAACTGGAATGCAAGTCTAACTAACAAACTAACAAAGCAAGTAAACGGTTGTATTCAAGTTAAGAGGTCACCCGGATATGGTTCCCCCTAGACTGCAGTTAAGCCGGATTGTAATTACCAAGTTCAGTTTCTATGAAGATTATACTGCGGAAGGTTCTTAAACAGCCTGAAGTCTCGACTAAAGGTCTTCAGACCCTCTCAATCTGACTCTCTAGCGGGCGACTAACCTCCACCGGAGTCGACAGATTGAGGCCCTAAGAACAAAACCTCCACTACCGGAGTAAATCCGGTACAGAATAGTGAGTTGGCTCCTCGACTAAAGTCACCAACTCGCTACCTTCAATCAAGGATACTCTATTAACCTAGGCAGATATTCTCATTCTAGGTCAAAGCAGAAACAACAGGAATTTGATCAGGATTCAAGTCATTCAATCATTAAAACCTCAATCGAATATAATCAATCATAGAATCAGTACTTCGGTTCATACAATCAAAGCCTAACATACAAATCTAGGGTTCTCCATACCCAGATGAATGGGAGAACTACTCCATGGAGAAGAAAGCAAAAGCAGAATCAGACACGGAATTCATACTGCGAAGGATGGATTCCTGCTTCTGGACGTTGATTGGCACTTCTCCAAGCTCAAGCTGGCCTCCAATGGTGTTGAAGATCAATCTAGGGCACTTGGGAACTCTTGCTCGTCACTTTCTCTCTCTAGAAGTCGTTCTTTCTCTCAAAAACTCGAATCCCCTTGAATTGTGGCTGAAACTCTGCTTAAAAGCATCAGTGGCCAAAGCACGGTCGAGGGCACGGCCGTGCTTTGCCTGACTCCGCCCGTGCCTCGGACAGGGCTTAATTACACGGCCAGCAAGTGGGTTAAACACGGTCGTGCTTCGCAATGTAAACGGCCGTGCTTTGACTGAACACGGCCGTGCTTCGGTGCCCGTGTTTGCAGCTGAATTGGCCAAACTGAATTTGCTCTCGGCATAAAAAGCACGGACAGCAGTACACGGCCGTGTAATGCCTTAGGCTGCCCGTGTTTTGGCTCCAGCTCACCGAAATGACTTCCGAATGCCCCGAAACTCGCGCTTAGCCTTCCCTTTGACACCTGGGACCTGAAACATGACAAAATAGCACAACCCGGCGTAAAATAGGCCACAACACACGACTATGTCCCTCAAACGGATAAGAACTAGGGGCGCAAACATGTGCAATTACATCGTTATCAATTACTTGATTATCTATCTTGAACTACTATATACCAAAGAAACACTATGTGATTAAATTGTTTTATTCTCGCGCAATTGTTTTTGAAGTTGTTTGGATGAGTAATTCTAACGGATCAATTTGACTCAATTGTTTCATTTTGATACAATCTGGCCAAATTGATCTGTTTGGCAGCACAAAAAGCAGATGAAACAATTGTGTTTGAGGAATTTCAAATTGACTCGTTTTGAGCCATCTGGGATGGGGGCAGACAATTTGAATCGACTAGTTTTAAATGACTCATTTTGTAAAAATGAGCCCATTGATCAAATTGCCTAGATTTTCAATTGATCCATCCAAACAACCCTTTATCTATTCAATTCGATTGACCAATTGATCCAAAAAGTACCGGGTAAATGCCACATTTGGTCATGTGATTCTAAAACGTCATGTTTAGTAAGTCAACCAAAAAAATTAATATCAATTTTGATCACTCAAATTACTGAAACAATCCACATTTAGTCACCCTCCGTTAGTCTCCATCCAACTCCGTTAATGGAGTCCGTTATGTGATGACATGGCTAACGGAATCGATTAGTCAACGTCGTTATGGACCGAAAAGTGTCAAACCCGACCCGCCATCTCATATGCCCAATCCTACCCAACCCGACCCGTGAACCAAACCCGACCCGATTCTCATGGCCTCCCACTTCTCCATGTCATTCACGCTAAGCCAAGCAGGTCACATTTCCGAGAGCCAAATGAGCAAAGTAGCCTACCGCCGCCCCTACCTCCAAACAACTAATCGATCTCCCAATCAATATGTACTAAGGCTTTACAATCCAACCAACTTCGAATTCCCCAAATTGAGCAATCTATAGTCTAATTGTAAGCACGATTGAAGAGAAAAATAAAGATGAATTACCATAATTTGAACATAGCTTCCGGAAACAAGCCTCTACCCAAATCGTCTAACGCTAACGAAAAGAAAGAAACTTCAAACTAGGGGTGGCATTTCGGTTTCTGGTTAGCGGTTAGCAGACCGATTTGACCGAAAATCATCGGTTAGTGGCTAATAAAAAACTGATAATAAAAAAAGGATGTTCGGTGTTTGGAGAGGGAGAGATTGATTGCGGTTAGCCGAGTAACCAAAGGCGGTTAATCGTGGTTACTCGACTGACCGTAGATAATTCCCACCCCACATTAGACCTCCGCCGCCTCCATCCAAAATCCCAAAAACCTTTCGTCTTCACTATTCCATTATGACTCCCCCCTTTCCCCAATCTGATTCTTTACAAACCCTAATTCCCAAAATAAAAGACCTTCCCTTCCTCCATTCTCCCCGCCCCTCTCCTCTCCAAATCTCCATGCAACGCTCCTCTTGCGAGACCAGATCGTCGGCCGTTGCTCGTCCTCCTCCACTGTCGCGCTCGTCCCGCCTCGGCTTCCATCATCTCCACCTTCGTCGCCTCCACTCTTCCACCAGCCACCACCATCGTCGCCTCCGTCTCCGTTGTCCATCTCCGAAGCAGCCTCCGACCTTGCTCTTCCTGCCGATCGCTTCCGCTCCTCCTCCTTCACAGAGGTAGAGAGAGGAGAGAAGAAGAAGAGGTTTGGTCCATTTGGAGGGTAGTAGTCTAGAGACAGAGAGAGGAGAGAATAAGTTCTGAACTTCTGATTTTTTCTTTATTCTTCGGGAAAAGAGAGAGGAGAGAAGAAGAAGAAGAAGATAGGGAAAGTGTGGCCTATGATTTTTTTTTCTTTCTTTTAATTTCTTTTAATTTTTTAATGTTAGGTAAAAAGAGAGTAGAGAAGTAACGTGGGTGGGGCATTGGGTTGTTTTCCTTTCCTTTCTTTTGTTTTTTTAGTAAATTCGGTTATTGCGGTTATAACCGAACCAAAACTGAAAATCAGTCAGTCAGTGGTCGGCTAACCGTGGCTTCCTCACGGTCGGTAGTCGGCAGACATAGGGGACGACTCGGTTTAACCCAAAACTGATTTTTTCGATTTTTGGTTAAACTGAAAGTGACCGATTTCGACCCCTGCTTCAAACGAGAACATCTTCGAATGTGATGAGGGGTAGGATCGCGATTGCGAAGACGCGGCTCAGTACAATCGGAATCTGATGCGACATGCTAATTCAGGGGACGAGATGCCATTGATGCCCAATCGGACCTTCGAGACCTACATCCTCTCACAGTTCGACAAGGATCTGAAACCAGACCCCACCTGCGAGTGAAACTACAGCCTGTTTGGCCCGGATCTGACGCCGACATACGACATCGACATCCTCCGCCTGTACGTCTTCTATGTAAACCGGAAGGGGCATGTTTGTCGGCGACGTGAAATGGAAGAGGGAAAAGTGGGGAGGCGATGGTAGAGATGAGAATAGGGTCGGGTTTGGTTTGGTTCATGGGTCGGGTTGGGTTAATGGGTTGGGCATATGACATGGTGGGTTTAATGATGTGGCGGGTCGGGTTTGATCATTTTTTATCCAAAACGATGCTGATTAGGTGATTCCGTAAGCCATGTCAGCTGATAACAGACTTCATTAACGGAGTTGGATGGAGATTAACAGAGAGTGACTAAATGTGGATTGTTTCAGTAATTTGAATGACCAAAATTAATATCAATATTTTGGTTAAATACACTTGTATATCCAAAACTTTCACGGTTGTGCCAATAATATCCAAATTTTCCGAAATACCACTTATATCCAATTCCTTCACATTCTTTAACGGTGTTTTTGGATATACAAGTGTATTTAACCAAAAATCTATTGGGAAATGGATAGATTTGGCAAAGAACAACTTTAAAACATGGATATAAGTGGTATTTAGGGAAATTTGGATATTATTGGCACAACCGTGAAAGTTTTGGATATACAAGTGTATTAAACCTAATGTTTTTGAGTGACTTAACATGACATATTTTACTAATTCCAATAAACATATACTGAATTGTTATTCGTCGCCCTAATATTTAAATTTTAGGGGATTTCTAATCATCGCCCTAAATCTTATAATCTCCCTAATTAAATTTACTTTTTTAATTAGGCTCGTCTCTGTACTCTCTCCTGCATAACCCCTTGAATTTCAAAGTCTCAGATCAGGCACTGTACGAAACTAGAAACTATCACCAACACTCATTAGAAATCAATTCATCGATCCATTTCTTGATCAATCGAATATGAATTACCAATACCAGGCATGATGCCTAAGAATTCCGGCTCTTGAACCACTTCTGGTGCGGAGATGAACCTCTTCTAGGCGGTGGCGTAGCGGAGGAGGCGGGGGCCCTGTCAGTATCCATGCGCGACATTACTTTGCCGGTGGAATCAAGTGAGTAAACCTGGGAAAATTCGACGAAAAAACATTACTTTTTATCGCGTCGGATATCTACGGCGGCGGATTGGGTGGCGGTGATTGGGGAAGAACACTCAGCTTCTAATTAGCCGAATCAAGAATACCCCTCCCCATCTACCCATCCCAATCCTCCCACGATGTGTCAGCTTTGGGAAAGCAATCTTGCTCAGTTGCTCTTATTACTTGATGATGATGATCCCTGCTTGATGCCCAGAAACTCAGCTCCTATATTCTTCGGAGATTAGGGATTTTAGTTTTAAGGGCGTTTGTTTTGTTGGTTTTTTATTAATTTATCAAGGTTAATTTAGTAATTTTATGTTTTAGTTTAGGGCGATTCTAGTAAAACTAGGGCGACGTTTAGCCATTCAGAAATTTTATCGCCCTAAATCACACTAGATTGATACAATTACCCCTAACTTCCATTTCTAACCTAAATCCTAAGCGAGTCATGGAACTGTTTCCTCTTCGCCTCCTATTCCGAGGAAGTCGATCAACATTTTTTAAAGCGACGAATAGCAATCTCATATATATATGGCATTTACCCAAAAGTACCCTTATACAACCAAAATCTGTACATCTTTTTCTTTTTTGGTAAGTGAGAAGCAAATGAGTGAATGACCAATGAGTACTTCGCCATGAAGCAACTCCATTACGGAAACTCGCACCCTTATTTTGGGGATTACTGACGCCCAGAGTGCCCATTCCCGCCCTTTTTTATTTTGTTTTCTGAGAACCCAATCCATTCCAGACTTCGAGTCAGGAAAGGCAGATCGATGGGGTCATCCCGCTGACGTGGAACCGATGCCATCCCGTAGATCTCCTTTACCGCTGTGAGTCACACAAGTATCAACTACTCTACACCTGTCTTCACCTGATTGCCTCTCCCTGCCGGCAGTGGACGCGTGGCGCCATTTCTTTTTTTTTAAGTGTTTTTGTTTCTTCTTCTCCTCCTCCAAATTATTAATGTGGAAAAACGAGAGCCAAACATGATGAATTAAATTTTAAAAAATAGAACTCCTCCAGACCTCCACCGCCTTCACAGTTTCCCACTTGCCACCAATTAACTATAAATTTCCTCCGGCCAAAACTCCCAATTAATTCATTATGCGCATCACCGGCGATCACAATGGCCGTCGACGAGTCATCGGGAAGCGCGCTCCACATGACGCTCGTGAACCGGTGCCTGAGCCTGGAAGCGAGCCACGAGAGGCTGAAACATGAGCTGTACCATCTTCTGGAGGACAAGTCGAGACGGAGGGACGGCGACGACTCCAGATCGGGCGGTACCGTGGCGACGAATGACAACAGGTCGGCGGAGTTGACGTCACTAACCGGGATGGTGACGACATTTTCCGGCCGGTCTTTCTTTCCTGGATACTTCGTGGAGGGGACTCCTTACCGCGGGGTGCTCGAGAACATGGGGCACGCTCTTCACTTATGCAGCGCTTCTTCTGGACATATCTTCTACTGGTGACGTTTTTTCTTCTTCCCCTATAATCCCCCGCCCGCCAAGTGTTTGTTGAAATTCCTCACTGAAGTTGAATTTTCAAATGAAGGCTTCAATTCAATTTTGGGGTTTTCAGGAATCGTGCTGCTGAAATGCTATTCGGGTGGCAAGAACATGAGGTCATGGGGCGGAGCATGGCCGAGCTCCTTGTGGCTGAAGGGAGCCATGCGTCCCTTGGTAAGATCTTGGAACTTCTGAGCTTGGGGCGGTCGTGGTCAGGGCAGTTCCCTCTTAGGAAAAAGTCCGGAGAGATATTTATGGCGTTGGTCACCAAGAGCCCAATGTACGAGGAGAATCAGCTCGCTGGGATCATCACGGTTTCAAGTGATGCGGCGGTGTTCAACAAGACTAATTTAGAGAACCTGAGCAATGTTACTATTAAGGAGACCAACTTCCGGAGGATTCAGTGGCACCAACGGCCGGCCATTGCATCGTCAGTTTCTAATCTGGTGCTAATGATGTGATTTAATTTGTTATCGTAGGTTTTTCTGTTACTTCCTGTTTCATTATCTTCGCCACATGGTTCTAAATCCGTAGCTTCTGCTTTTGCATTTTCAATGTTTCAATGGTTAAGGCTACAAAGTTATTGCCTAGAAAGAACAATGATGATGGTAATTATGATGACCATTGGGGTTCCAGGGCTGATGCACAAGCTGCAGTCACGATCCAAGATCACTCTGGTTCACTAGTAAGTCCTTTGTTCACTCTCTTGTGGAACTTTTTTGGGGGGAAATGAAATTTAAGTCGAAGGACTTTGAATGCAGGACACAGGAACTAGAAGTAATACATGTCGTCAAAATGAGAAGAATGACACCAACCGTAGTCGTCATCCAAAAATTGTACGACTTCTTTTGATATTCTACTTTTATTGTCCTGAAAACGGAGGCTTCTTTGTTGTTTGGTTTATCAAGTTTGCTCCACTATTTGGTTACAGTTGCTGAAGGCAGCTAAAAAGTTGGCAAATCTACGCATTGGAGGGTACAATGGCAGTAGTAAAAATGTCGGGGAGAACAGTCAACGATATGACCATGATGATAGGTCTGTCAAAAATGAGGGCTTCAAAAACACTAATCATCATCGAGGATCAAGAGCGTCGGTATCTGATCAATGCTCTATCGGTGGCAACGCTGAAGCAAAGAGTCCTCCTAGACAAGAAGGAAATTCTTTGGTCCCTCTTAGGAACTTTTATAATATGTATTCACGGACCAGTCGAAATCCTTCTGAAGAGATGTGTGTTTCAACCTCTATGGAGGAAGGAAACCAATCCAGGAATCTGAACTCAGTGATGGATGCAAAGGAGCAGACAGAGTTAGACCGGGAAGTCTTGGAAAGGGAAGAAGATGAAACAGGCAGAGGATCAGACGGGAAGCAGTATTCATGTGTTGCGGAGAGCAATGACATCCGCAGAAGTTCATCTAGAAAGGTGGATAATGGTTCAAGTTCAAAGGTTGACTGTGAGATTAAGTGGGAGGATCTCCAATTAGCAGAGGAGGTTGGGCAAGGTAAGCCTCTAAAGTTATCATCTTCTTTCAAATGCTTTCATTAGGGTTCGCTCCACTGGAATGAGGGTGTTGTCACATGGTGTATTTTTGAGTTCTGAGTTCTCTTTTTCTCTTTTTCCCTGTAGGTGCATTTGCCGTTGTCTATCGAGCAATCTGGAATGAATCGGTACAATATGCTTGCTATGACTGTGCAGCAGGTGCATTTGCTGTTATTCTGCATTTCTACATTTTACTGTTAACCCACATTTGTGTTTCAATGCACCAGGATGTCGCTGTCAAGGTTTATTTTGCCAGCGATTACAGAGAAGAAACATTACATGAGTACACGAAAGAGGTTAACAGCTTGAATTGGTAATACGAGCTTCCGGGTTACCTGCCAATTGAAGCCTCTCATAATATAAGCTTCTTGTCTTCTATCAGATCGAGATGTTGAAGAGGCTTCGACACCCAAACGTGTTGCTTTTCATGGGAGCTGTGTATTTACCGCAACGACTGGCCTTAGTCACAGAGTTCTTGCCAAGGTAATTAATGGACACTAGCTCTCCCAGCTGGTGTCGGGCATCTTTTATATTGCTGTGGAATGATTTTGGAAATCTCACTCTCATGGCAGGGGAAGCCTTTTCAAGACACTTCACAGAAACAATCAGACCCTGGATATCAAAAGGCGGCTCAAGATGGCCCTTGACGTTGTAAGCTATACTTCAATTATGGGTGGTACTGTAAGTTTCCTAAAGATAAACAGTCAGTTACTGTATGTACATCTCAATTGCAGGCTAAAGGGATGAACTACTTGCATCATAGAAACCCACCTATTGTGCATGGAGATCTAAAATCTTCCAACCTGCTTGTTGACAAAAATTGGAATGTAAAGGTAAGATACGGTAATGAACATCTCTCTGGTAATGCAAGTTTCCTAGGGGCTAAGGAGATTAAAAAACTGTCGGTGTATCAGGTTGGGGACTTTGGTCTATCTAGGTGGAAGCATGCAACCTTCTTGTCTGCAAAGTCGGGAATAGGAACGGTAATGGGTCTCTCTGTGCTGCATTCAACCCTTTGCTATTATTAGTTGCTTAGTCTTAGCAGTATTTAAGTGGGAGCTTCTCTTGCATAATGGTCAAGTAAACTCTGCCAATGCAGCCTCAGTGGATGGCACCTGAGGTCCTCCGCAACGATCCTTCGAACGAGAAGTAAGTAACTTTCCAAAAGATGTCTCAGCCATGATTCTTCAGTTCAGTCCATAAATTCAGGCTCTGGATCATAATTTTTACTACTACTGAAAAACGAGTCCAGGTCTGACGTCTACAGTTTCGGGGTGATCTTGTGGGAGCTAATGACAGTCTCCATCCCATGGGACAGACTCAACTCCTTGCAGGTATACTGACGTACACCCTTATCATTCTAGACCCAAATTTCGTTTAGAGGATTGGCTTTAGCTTTATTGCGGTTTGGTTTCTGTGTTGGAACTTTTAACTGTTGGAGCAGGTGGTTGGAGTGGTTGGGTTCATGGACAGAAGACTGGAACTGCCTGAAGGTCTTGATCCCAGGATAGCAACCATTATCCAAGACTGTTGGAAGAGGTAACTTCATGTACAAGCTAAACACATTCTGCGAAGTTAAGCTTCTAACAGCTTTTGTCGTTCCTCTATTGGGGTGGCGGAAACACCACCGCCAGTGATCCGCAGCAACGGCCGTCGTTCCAAGACCTCATTCGGCAACTAACGAGCATAAGTCATCGGGCTGTGACGGCTCAATCTCAGAGAGCAGCTAACGAGACATAGGAACAAAATGTTCCATTTCCGTGTCATGTCGATTCAGTTACGCTTGTGCGGATGTGGGCAGCTGCGAGATCGCACAGCCACAGAAATTTCAATGTTGTGGTAACTGTTTGGTCCTTGCAATGTACGAGGAACCGGACGTCTGTTCCGTGAAGGGTCACATCCACGACTCACATCAGGGGCTGTGAGGAAGACGAGAAATAATAGTTATGGACGAGTCTACGTTGGGTTAGTCGGCTCCGGCGGTTTAGTAGAGAATTTATCTCTCCGCTCCAAGCTCCTCCACGGCGGTGAGAGAGAAAATAGTAGTGTCCTTTTCCCCCCATTGCAAATTGTAACAAGTGGAAAGACGGCTAGTACCCGTGGTTTTCAAAAATGGCTGATCGCGAGATGGCTTTTTATCGGGAAACTATGTAAACACACGTTGTTCGAATTTTTCATGAGACGACTCTTATTATATGTACATATCTCAACGATAATGTTTGTTATTTTGTTAGATAAGTGCATTTTTATATGGGTGATATAATATTAAATAATGAAAAACAGCAAAAAATGTTTACAAAGGGGTCAACTCAATCCCTACAATTTCCACACAGGGCGAAACCTGTACCCATATAAAGAAAGTGAAAAGCTAATCAGAGATGTAGAAAGAAAAGCCAAACAGGGTTGTTTGAAGTAGGGTGACTAGAGGGGCGAAGCAGTCGCCTGCTAACCAAAAAACTCAACAATCTGGCCACGAATCTCGATCTGCACCCCAACAAGTGCCGCCCTTGACTGATTAAAGAGCCAAATGCCATCTTGCTCTCACCAGCGTCCACAGTCCACCTTTCGATCTGGAATCATTCCCTAGGAGGGAACAACTTGGTCTTCAACCCTCTTAACCAGCTCTCGGTGGTGTCTCTGTCAACCTTCTTTGCTGCATTCAACCATTGTGCAATAGCACAACCGATTTTGAAAGCCACCAGACAAGGAGTAGCTTTATTTCCAGCCATAGATTCCAACAATAAGCATGAAGGAACACCATTGAAGATCATCGAGTAGGATCCACCGGTTTATTATGCTGCCATAACTTGACCCTTTCTGAAATGTCAATAGCCCTGCAAATTATGTCATCAATTCTAGTGAAGGATCTCATTACCCTCCATACCTCCTCGGCAAACTTAGAACTCACAAAGAGATGATTAATGTTTCCTTCTTTCATTTTGCAAAGTGAACATCTATTCGGTAGATTGATTCCCCTCTTCTCATATTGTCCAAGGTTAGAATCCTCTTGTGGAACACCATCCATAGGAATATACATATCTTGCTTGGTAGGAAAATCGTCGATTCTGTCGAACCTTGCTGCAGCAAGCTCGTCAAAGGCTGAGTGGACTCTGAATCCAGACGAGGATGTTGGATGCCAGAAAACCACTCTGAATTTGAGTTCGGATACTTCAAATCAATGAGTTCCCTCCACCAACTTTGCCTTTCAATTGCAAAACACCATATCCGCTTGAGGAGAAGTGCTTTGTTATAAAGATGCAAGTCACGAATCCCCAAACCTCCCTGCTTCTTGGCCGTCTTACACATCTCCCAGAAGATCAAGTGAAACTTTTCCTTCTCAGAATTCCCCCACCGTAGAAAATCTCTTTGCATTTTCTCCGAAGTTTTGATAGTACTCATCGGAGCCAAAAAGAGGGACAACATTGATCAAAACTACTCTTCCACCAATTGAACGATAACTCCCTTTCCATCCATCAAGTCTAGTGTGTCATTTTGTGATCTCCTGGCTCCAAACAGTTGGGGATGCCGGATGAGCACCAAAGGGCAAGCCCAGTTAAACAATAGGAAGGAACTCTCATTCGCAACCTAAAATTTTAGCAAGCCTGTCTATATTCTGTACCTCTCCAACAAGGAAGATTCTGGTCTTGTTCAGGTTAACTTTGAGACCAGTGATGCCTGAAAGCACACCAGGGTTGCCAGGATATTTACAACTTCTGCCTCATTATCTTCACAGAAGATGATAACATCATCAACATAGAGGAGGTGTGTCACTTCCCCTCGTCGATTACTTTCATCCACACAAAAACCAGTTAAGCGCCCGACATCGCTGATTTTCCTTAAAATAAAAGAGAGGATGTCCATTCCCAAGTTGAAAAGGAAGGGTGATAGGGGATCTCCTTGTTTGATACCTCTACTCCTGCCGAAGAAACCCACAGCTTCCCCGTTAACTAGAGCTGAGAGTTTGGTTGAAGTTATAACACCCATCATCCACTACCGAACTCTTTTATGCAGATTCAAGCTTTTGAGTGATTCCAAAATACAATTCCAGCTGATAGAGTCGAATGCCACTCCTTCGTCGACTATCAATAATCTCATTTGCGATGAGACTGGCTTCATGGATCACACACCCCTTTTTCCCCTCCAAAATTGGTTTCTAGAGATGATTATGTTCATGAAGGGTTGTAGTCTATTAGATAACAACTTAGATATTATTTTGTTTAAGCTGCCTAGCAAACTTATTGGCCTGAAATCCGAGATCTCTTCAACAGCCTCCTTTTGGGGGATGAGACATATAAAGGAGTGAGCAATCGCTTGAAGAAGTGATCCCAAAAGATAATAGTCATCAAGGGCCTTCAACAAATCAAACTTTATGATGCTCCAACTTTTCTTGAAGAACTCGAGTGTAAAACCGTCCAGCCACTTTGTCTCCATTACAAACATCGGATGACCTCCCAAGTTTCAGCTTTAGAAAAGGGTTTCACAAGTGCTTCATTTTCCTCGTCCTTAAATGCGAAGGGCCTACAATCTCTAGGAACCATCTGTATACTTTGTCTGGAAAGAGTCTTTTATTACTACCTTAATTGCTATAGCATCTTCTGTCAAACACCCATCAATTCTCAACCTCTTTATTCTATTTCTCTACCGATTGTGATTAGCCACATGTCTCCCACTTTGACCGCAGCTCACCGGACTTCTGTCGCCATGAAATCTCTTTGAGTAACAAAACCCTTTCGAGTTCACATTTTAGAAGGGCTCTTTCCGCAAACAAGTTTTCGTTGATAGCGCCATCTTCCTCCCCTGCATCAACAGCCTTGATATTAAATCTGGTTTGTCTCACCTTTTGTTTTGAATCTGACCAAGTGACTTGTCCCTGACACAAGGATATTCCACCACCCCACTAAGTCGTGTAGAAAAGCTTCCTCAATGAGCCACATGTTCTCAAACCTCCAAGGATGTTGGAAGTCTTCTTTTCTACCGCATTGCAAAATAATAGGATTGTGATCAGATTCCACTCTATCCAAGGCAAAAAGTGCATCCGGACCGAATTCCTCTTCGAATCTTAGATTTATTAGAGCTCTATCAATGCGCGAAAGTGAATTCTCCAAACCCCCTTTACTCGAGGTGAACTTCGATCCTTGAAGTGGGAGGTCCACAAGGTTGTAAGAATAGATGAAATTATTGAACTCTTCAATGAGCTCCTCATTTCTTGAATTCCCCACTTAATCATTCACTGACCTGACAAGGTTAAAGTCGCCAATAATACACAAGGCAACCTGATAATTTTGGCAAACAAACTCAAGCTCTTTCAGGAATTCAAGCTTGTCTTTCTTCTTTTGGGGACCATAGACAACCAAAAATGGCACAATCTTTCCAGTATCAGAGAATTAAGCCTAACCGCGAGGGAAAATCTTCCTTGGCAAACCGATAATGCCTCATACAGCTTTGTATCCCAAAAAATTGCCATTCCTTAGCTATCTCCAACCGAATTCTCGACCACCCATTCATCAGATTTGCTACCATTGATAGAGAAAATAAGCCTCTGATCTCAATTTTTCCATTTAGTCTCTATAAAGCCAGCAATTGTGGGTTTCCATCTCGAAAGGATTCTTTTGACCTTAGCTCTCTTGTTGGGGTTACCAATTCTCGGGCGTTCCAGGCAATAACGGAATGAATCATCATGTAGAGACGCCAGAGAACACTTATAGGTCAGGTGACCCTCCTTTCCCAACAACATTCAAGACAACACGCTCAGGAGACTGCCAGTTCTGTGTCGAGTTCTCTGGTTGTGGGTAGGGGTGGGAAAACGGTTCGGTAAACCCAAACCGAAACGGAATTAAACCAAACTGCAACCGAAATAATGTTATTCGGTTCAGAATTTGGAAGGAAAATATTAATATTTCGGAAACCAGGGTTCTTTCAACCCAACCGAATTTCCGACCGAAAACCGAAATACTATTATTGCAAGCTCCAAATGGTGAATTTTTATGTTTGTAGTTGCTTTTAGACTTAAATATGTGAAATATTTTATGACTTATGTGTTGAAAAGTTTTATTTTATCATTGATTATGCATATAATTACATATATATTGTTTATATTAGGGGTGAAAAATAATTTAAAATTGATAAGATGCAAGTAGCCTCACAAATTCAGTTTTGCGTGAAAAACTGAACCGAACCAAATTATCATTCGGTTTAAACCGACCGTACGGAATTATAATTCAGTTCGAATTCGATTTGAGGTTTGGGAGAATTCGGGGACCCGATATTTATAATTTTAGTTCGGTGAAAACCGAACCGACCGAATGCCCAACTCTAGTTGTGGGGAGGACATTCATTGATTCCCAATCTATGCTTTTCCATCTCCAATTTAGTCATGCGCTTCCGTAGCCGATTATTGTAGACCTCAACCTCAAGACCCACAATTTTCTCCTCTGCCAAACAGACATACTAAGATATTTGGAGACCCAAAAATCCTGCAGACTTCAATGCTTCGGTTGATATGCTCCGATTGATCAATCTATGCTTACCAATCGACCAGTAACTCTAGCGTAACAGGGTTAAAAGGGACAATTGCCAGGTAGTTGGGGCCAGTGTGTATCGAGGAAGGAGGGGAGAGAGGGAGGGGAATGCATCAATGAAGTCATCATCGGAGACAAAATCATCTGATTGACAGGCTAAGGGAGACAAGTGGTAAGGGTTTGAGGAACTGGGGTTGTGGTTGTCTAAAGGGTCGTATTGGGAAGAAGAGGGCACTCGAAACTCACAAGGTATTTATGAAGGTAGAATCTGGGCAGGGTCGGGTAGAAGCAAGAGGGATAGGAGATCTCAATTAGGCGAGGTAAAGAGGTGGAAAGGATTAAGAAATCTGAGTCGAGGATGATGCGATTATGAAACTTGTGAGGTTGATTGATAGCGATAGCAAGACTGGGAAGAGGGTGAGGGGATGGAAGGTGGGATTCTGAGGGAGGTATCCAGGTCTGGGTTAGGAGGCTAAGGAAGGAGAGGGCTGGAAGGGGCAAGGCTGCTTTAGGCGAGGACATGGTTTGGGCTAAAGTCAAGCAAAGGATCAGCTCGTAAATGACAAAGGCTTGTGGGCCTATGACACGGCCTGTATTTGCGAACCCAAACTATTTTAACTAATTTCTTCAAATTTGCATGTCGTCGAGGCCCACCATCAATAGTTCCAGGCACGTCGAAAGGCTCATGACGTCTCATCTTCCCCAACTCGAAAAACGGAGCCGACCAATCCTTTGGGGCGTACTAGGGAACACTGCGGCACGTGGAGCAGAGCCATTAACCTGTTTTGTAAACTCCGGTCCCTTCATCTTCCTGTCAATAAGCCGGAATCTCTTCAAATCAGCCTCCGGCGAGATCACTATTTTAATCATGAACAACGTAGTACCAAACATAAGAGGGATTTTTTCCGAAACGTCCGACTTCAATCGCACTTTGATTCTAATGCAAAGATCGCACCATTCCCCCTTCTCATAGTCGAAGAATTCCCCACACATGTCTCCAATTTTCTCAATAGTAGCTTTTGATCTGAGATGCGGTGGAAAATCGAAAGCCATGATCCATCTAAGGCTTCCCGGAGAAGCTAAACTCCTGTCGGCATCTTCCTTCCAGTACCTAGTGATGACGTTCCATCCTCTGTATTTCTTGAACCCCAAACTCTGGACTCTTATGACTTCTTTAAAGGTGGGCAAAACTAGCATCCAGTAATCTCCCATTCGTTTGGTGAAGTAGAAATCCGACGTAAGATCCCAGTTACGTCAAGCCCAGAACACAAAATCATTGGAAAGATCATCTCGTAACCCGCTATTTCGAGTTTCAAAAAACTCCAAAGTAAGGCATCTGTCCAGGAAACCCAATTTATCCCCAACACCAACTTCCCTGACATCGATGAATTTGTGAGGTCCAATAGAGTGGATTTTGACCACACCGATCTCCATGGGGAACCGATCTTTAACTACATCCGCGAAAGATTTACCATGGGACACCCACCCATTTCTTCTAATGAATCGCCCTGTCGGCACCCTTGTTTGCTCAGATTCCCGAAGGCTCAGAAGTAAATTCTTTTCTGCTCCGTCATTTTTTAGATTTGGAGGAAGTAATTTCCCTGAATGGAAAATCTATCAATCGCAATGGTGCGACCAGCAACCTCTTTTTTGCGCTTTACAACCGGATCCCACCCTTTCCTAGAGAAGTTTTCAAGGAAGCATCCTAACCAGCCAACGTGAGCATATTCAAGGAGGATGAAACGGTGACGACCATCAGGGTTGAGAACCGATAACCTCAAATGTATCCTCTTAGCGCTACAAACAGACTCAAGCACAACTATTGAACTTGCAACAAAAGCCTTAGCCAGGATGGACCCCGTCTTTGGAAGATGAATCCTTTGATGTCCAACCGCCTTGGAATCCCGAAACGCCGCAACATACCTGCAAAAAGAAAAATAAGACTCACCGGAGCTCTCACATGACCAAGCGCCCCCGCTCAGATGATTCCCTCTCTCGCTCTCAGGACACACTCTCTCTCTAACTTTCTCTCTCATTCTCTCCCTCTATGGGAGTTTTTTGAATCTAAGTAGTGACCACTTTCACCTTATTGGACCATTAGGATCATACATCAAGCTTTGCACCTTGTGATTACTCATGATTACTAGCCTCTACCGTCTGATCTTGTGGTACTCAAACCAACTGACTATGCATTTGCCCGTGGTTTTAGCGTATCCCGTTACCATATGCCTCACCCTCCCTCTTAAAAGCACATTAAATAAAATAAATTTTTATTTTTACCATGGTAACTCACATGAGTTGTAGAATTTACGGGTAAAATACCTCGAGTACCACTTAAGTTTGAGAATTGGGGTAGACATACCACTTAACTTTGAATAGGGCTTCAGATACCATTAAAATCGCCACAATGTGCTGAGAAAAATCGAGCAAAGTATAAAACGAAGATGAGAATTTTACGTGATTTGGTCTCTCAGTGTGAGATACTTACGTCCATAGAACAGAGGCTACTTCTCTTATTAGGTTATGGCCAAAGGCCGTACAATCCATATATTTATATCCCTAGCATCTAGCAACTTAAGGGTTTTACATGGAGGAGAAGGAAAACAACTCCAGCTCGTACAAGGAGAGCTTGGAGTGAACAACACGTCTCTAGCAGGATCATCACTCATGGGATGGAGAACATGTTGGGCCGAAGGAACCGAAGACTTATCTCGGCCCAATATGTGCAACTGTCTAGTTTTCCATCTAACCCAAAATTTTAATTACCTTTTGGTACCCAAACTTTTTAAAACAACCAAAACTATATTTCAAAAAGTATTAACTAATATAAAAATGAGGTAACCTTATAAACATCGTACTACTAGAATGGCTAATGAAAATTTGTCAATAAAATAGATAAATTAGTAAAATAATATGACTATAGGAAGAGCATCTACAATATAATATTAGAGAATTACAAGGATATTTAACATAGAAAATTAGACTTCAGCATTATGTAAGAGAACTAAATATAGCATCTTCATATTATTTATATTGAGACAGAATTCATAGGATATATTTGTTTCAGGGAATAATTCAATTATTAGAACACATAATGATAATTGAAAACACTTATAATGATAATTGATTCTAAATTTCCTACTAAAAAATTTGTTTGGTATCAGAGTCCTAAAAAGAGGATTCTAACTAAACAATAAAAAGAATGATTTTCATAAGCCCAAATGAGTTTTTACAATAAGAAAAGTAGAAGGACCAATTCTGAAATTTATGAAACATAATATTCTTGTTAACTTTAACGAAATGCACTTAACAATAAACTTAAGTGGTACCGGGTACATATATAATCGAGTTCAGTGGCACGCGGTGCCCTATTCTTACTTAAGTGGTATGGCTCCCCAATTTCTCATATTTTACTACAAATGGATTAGGAACGGTCACGGCAGGGGATAGTGATCTAGCGAGTGGACGTAACGTTGCTGTCAATTTTCTTATTTTCCACCTTGGCCATTGGGTACAATTTTTCACAAATAAAACTGGCAAATAGGGATGGCAATGGGTCGGGTTGGGTCGGGTTTTGCCAAACCCAAACCCAAATCCATGGGTTTATCCTTGAAAAAAACCCGGGGTAAAACCCATTGGGTTTGAAAAACTCAAACCCAACCCAACCCGCTGGGTATCCGCGGGTTCATGGGTATCCACGGGTTTTTGTCGTAAAAATTTACAATAACAAGTTTCTATCAAAATTAAAGTCAAATATCAATCTCTCAATACAAATTATCCATATATAAAACACAATTCTAGAAAATTCAAGAAAATCACAAATTAACTATACAAATTTTTCAATATCAATTTAGAAAACTCAAGAAAATTGAAGCAAATCACAAATTATCCATAAATAACATGATTAATTGATAGCTTCTTCCTTTCGATTAAGTTTTTTCACTCTCTACTTGATAACATCAACTTAATTCTACACAATTAGAAAGAAAAAATTAGACATGTCTCCACAAACATAAATAAGATTAGTTACTTAGAATATCAAATATACCGAAAAAATTAATTATATAGGTGTGGGCAGGTACCCACGGGTCGGGTTTATCTAAACCCAAACCCAACCCAACCCAATGAATAGTGAACGGGTTTAAACCCAAAACCCGGCCCAAAACCCGTCAACACGGATTTTACCCGCGTTGACCGAGTTGGGTCGAATGGGTACCCGTGAGTTCGGGTTTTGTTGCTATCCCTACTGGCAAAGGATCTGATTCTGCCCGGTACTGCTGCCTCAGTTCTGTACTTCTGTAGCCTCTATTACTGTTCCTTCCCAGTTCCCGTTTTATATCATTTCTTATTTTCCGCCACCAGAATTCCAGATTTACTTTTCCGGCAGTAGGGTGGACTCTTTTCCACATTTCCGAAGCAAATGAAATTTCTGGTGTTGGGACATCAATTTAATTCTTTTTTAATCATAATTTTTATTTAATTGTGAATAATAAACTCTATTCAAATTATGCTTTTTTTTTCCGGTGAATGTTGTCCCTTTTTATTAGCTCGAGCTTGATAAAACAAGCATCCTCGAAAACAAACTGCAATTTTTGCAGTTACTACTATACAACAACAAAACAAAAACACTATCAGCTAGCTACAAATCTAACTACTGATCACAAGATGTCATAAGAGTGAGAAAATTCAGAGTTGCCTTGACAATAAACTCGCACTTCCTGCTTGATCTGCTGGAGGAACTCCTCACTACTCTTTTGTACTGATGTAAATACTCTAGCACACCTTTCTTTCCATTCCATAATGAAGCCACAAACCAACACCAGATAACTCCAATCAGCTTGTCTCCCTGAGCTATCCGCCCACACAATTGCTCCAACATACCCTCCCATTGTACAGAACAAGAGAGATTGGGAAATAAAGCCACCAAAACTTCAGTAGAGTGTAAGAGCAGCTGCAGAATAAATGGTCTCTTCTCTCTCTGGCATAGACAGACATAGTAAACTAACAAACATATGAATCGACAACCCTCCACTCCTTTAACTGAGCTCTTGTTTTGATTCTGTTTTGGATTACTAGCCATGCCAAAAAACGATGTGGAGGAATATCAATTTATGCATTCGTTCTAATGACATCAAAATCAATAATGTTAGGAGATGTTTTTTAATATAAATTTATTTTGGAATTGAAAACATCCGCGTATAAAAATTATAATATTCACACAACACATAAGACATATTTTATGCGAATATTCAATTTGATTTATGTGAATTTGTGGGGCGCTAATTTTTTTAAATGAGAATTTAAAACATGTCGATATTCATCTTATTACATCGAGAAACATAAATTAAAGTTAGTTTGCCTATGTTTGGCCCGGCTTTTAGAAGTGATTTTCGGCTTTAAAAGCTGAAGCAGGGTCAAACACCTCTAAAAGCTCGGCTTTTGAAAAGCTGAAAAGCACTTTTGTATAACATAAAAGCAGAAGCTCTGATTTGGAGCTTCTGCGAAAAACTGTTTTGAAAATACAAGATTATCCTTACCATATTTTAATTTTATTTCAGAAAATATAATTTTCCTTCATTTATATCATTTTAAAAATAAAATAAATTATAAAATCATATTATTTAATATAAAATAAATCTAACAAGATCCATTTTGACTACTTTTTATTGTTTAGAATTTTTATTTATATTTTATATTATAAGTCCTTTATAGTCATTTTACACAACCGCTCATATTAAAAAGCACTTCTAATAGTTTTACAGCCAAACACTAAACGGCTTTTTTTGAAAAGTACTTATCTAAAAGCTACAGGCAGAAGCTGCTTCTGCAAAAACTAGAGCAGGGCCACACTAAGCTTTTATGTGCAACTTAAAAAAATTGTTAATAAAAAACAAGATATGAATGTTGTGATATTGTTCTCACAAAAATGGGTTGGGAGCAACATAGCGAGGTAGTTCGAAAACACCCTATATTGTTAGCACAATTAAACAATTTGGTGCCCTTAAAGTTGGTTGGAATTAGAAAGTTTGAACATCAAGTGCATCCAACAATCGTGACTCACAAAACAATGAAAACATAGAATCCAATAATTACTAATGGATCCGGACGTCCTAATCCAATAAAGGTTAGCATTATGATTGTAGCATGATTCATATTGCAAAATGTAAGCACCAATGCTGGCATATGTCGTTGTATCGATCACGCTTGCAATTTTCAGCTGTTAGATGTACCTGTTTGACAAGTCCAATAATATTTGTCTGAATAGATTATAATCCTTGTTGGGATGTTGATCGAATTATGTCGTTTCTTTTTACCTTATGGGTAGGGGTGGAAATTGAGGTGGGTGTGGTTACCCGCCCCACATTTTGCGGGTAATCACATCTACAAATATAGAACTATACTACCCACAACCCACCCACAGTGGGTAGTGGTTAACCACTATTCACTGCGGTTGGTGCGGGTTGGATGTGGATACCCACAAAAAATTCCCTTCTTTCACCCTTTGGACTCGTATATGATAAACCTATCGTCCGAGTGACGGCAAAAAAAAACACATTGAGTTAAAACTAAGTAATGAAGCCCAAGACATGGAACGAACGAAGATCCGATATTCGGAACCTCCTAAGTAGTCAACCTCCCTCTCCTTTGTTCACTTCACTCGCTTACATGTCACTTCACTTTCTTTAGGAAATGCAGATTGATAACGAGTATGGATTGGAGGAGATCTAATCTTAATATACATAGCATCTTTATCAGCGACATGACTCCTTGCATTTTTAGTTCGAATTTTTTTGGATAAATGGAACTCTCGCCCGAGTTGCGGAATTAGCGTATTCTTACACAAAAACAAAAACCTACATAAAATAAAGTTAATCAATAAAGTGTTAAACAAACTATAAACCACATTTATCATCTTTGTTTTCTTATAAAATAAACATATACCACACGGACAATACTTATTTAATAAAAGTATCACATACAAACACGGTGTATTGACTTAGTTTTATTTTATAAAATAAGTATATATTTGATTTTGGAGCCTACTTTAATTTATAGCATTCTACTTTTCGCATACTTTAATATTACAAAGTATTATTAATAAATAAATATACTTAGTGTGGTTATTGTGGATTTTGTGGGTTAACCGATGTGGATAGTGGTTAATCACTAACCACAAAAATCAATATTTTGCTACCCACACCCAACCCACTATCCACAAAACCCACAATGTATGCGATTTGGTGCGGTTTGTGGATTATCCACAATCCGCAAACCAAACTTCCACCCCTACTTATTGGCATGAAATTGAATAACATTTGTAACAATTTCAGTTTCCAAGTTAATACAAACTGGCTGAAAGGTGTAGAATTAGGTATGAATAATTATGTAAGTGGAAGAGTAGCTAACTAGTTAGCGATTTGGCTGGTCACAGTCTCACAGATATATAAATATAAATGATATCCATTGACGCAGAATGCTGAGGTGGGCCTTGACGCGCGAATATGTAACAGGTCCAATGTGTTCCCTGTTACTGACTTAGGAGTTGCGACTTTTATTATACAAAAAGTACAACTTGGTCATCTCCAAATAAGAAAATGCAACACTGATGTCCTCCAATGACTATAAAACACATGCATGAAAGGCATATCCAATTACATATAATCATAACAAGCAACAACCTGATTCTACATGATATGCATATATGTTTAACCGCTTATTCAAAATTTGAATAGTAGTTATTTCCCCATTTCTAACGGATTAATTTTGCAAATCAAATATATTGTTAATAATTTACACGAACAATCTTTGGGACGAAGGAAGAAAATTAGTAGAGGAAACAAAACAAAAAAAAAACTGAATTACTGTAGAAAAAATTAAGCAAGGATCCGCACAAATTCCGTCTTCACAATCACACCCACATAATACTCTTTTTTTTTCCCATTTTCCAAACCTCTGATTCCCGTATTTAAATCTCGCCCCCTTCTTCTTCTTCTTCTTCCACTGACCAGCTCTTTTTCTATTTCCTTTCCATTCCCCTACTCTCTCTCTCTCTCTCTCTCTCTCTCTCTCTCTCTCTTTGCTTCAGTCTCCCGCCAAAACATCTAGCCGTCTTGTCTTCTCCACCACAATTTCCACTGCGAAAAACAATGGGCAAGGCCTCGCGGTGGTTCCGCTCCGTTTTCGGCCTCAAAAAGCCCTCCCAACATTCTCTCACCCAACCGCACACCACCCCCAAGGAGAAGCGGCGGTGGAGCTTCGTGGTGTCCCGGCGGAATACGGTCGCGGAGAACGATCACGGCGGCGAGGAAGAGGAGGATCCGAACGAGCGAGCGATCGCCGTGGCGACGGCAACGGAGGCAGCGTTGGCTGCCGTTCACTCCGCTGCAGAGGTAGTCCGGCTGACCGGCAGCGGTGGGTCCGGCGGTGAAGGCAGCGCCGTCGTCGGAAGCGGCGGGGGAAGCTCGTCGGCGTACGTCACTGGGGGCCTCGGGCTCCGTGAGGATTTCGCCGCGCTTAAGATTCAGGCAGCTTTTCGAGGCTATTTGGTCAGTAACTAAACCATAGCCTTAATCCCTTTATTCATTGCGTTTCATTTATTTCTAAATTAAATTATATGTTCAGAAATAATTCCTGAGAATTCTCAAATTCCTATTTATATGGGTGTTCAAATGGTTACCATGGTTACTACCAAACCAAATAAGGCTAAATTTTATTAATCATGGAATAGAATATCACAACCAAACCGTCCAAATTAATACAACAACCAAATTAACCAAATTAAAGTTTAATCGGTTTGGTTAATTGGTTAACCAGATTAACCAATATAAAATCACATTATCATTAAGTGAGAAAATTTTCGGTTAGTTTATCAATTCACAATTTATATAATGAATAAAACATAATAATCAACACATAGTTATAGTTGGCCCTTAACATAAATACATGCAACTAAGACAATTATCTTACGGTTAGTATAAAAGTATTCACCTAACAAAAATTTATCACAATGGTATGGGTTAATGAATTGTTGTGTTTGTTTGAATTGACTTAGGCTTTTAGAAATTTTCATAGGCTGAAAAGGACCTTGCTTTCAAGTTTTCATCCAACATAATGTATGAGATTTATCTAAATTAGGCGAACATATGTTGTGGTCTACACACTACATATACAAATATACATTATAGGAACAATATCAAGCTTTATATTTTATGAGTCTAAAAGGGATGAACGTTTAACTTTTGAGTGGTTATTCAAAGTATTAAGTATGTGTATATATTAGATATATGGCTCATTATTTATCTGGTTAATTTGGTTTGGTTGGTTAGGAGTGTCTGAAAGCAAACCAAACCACCTAAACCAAACAAGCTAAGAATTTCAACCAAACCAAACCAAACCAATTATTCAAATTAACCAAACCAAATTATCCAAATAATACTGGTTAAAACGGTTAGCATGGTAACCACACCGTTTGAACACCGCTACCTATTTCCATTCACCACCACTGCCACGTGTCACTATATCCGTCATCGTCTTCCCTTGTCGTCTCCCACTTCAGATCACCTGAACTCTCAATCTGCAAGATTCTGGAATCTGGTCATGATGTAACGGCGTCATTTTACTACTTCCAACCACAGCACACACTGGACACTGCCACACTTCAGTCTACTGCCCTTTTTCCGCCTTCCTCTACGGATGAAGTATGAGCTGTTACCCCCGTCCGGCCGTCCCGTGTCGTTTTCCTGAAAGCGTCCAAATTCTCTGCTACTTGTAGCTAAAGTTTTCATTTTCCTATTTTTACTCATTTCAACTCTCAAAATTAGCAGCTGCTGCCCGCCACACGGCATCGCCCGGTTGGCCGTTTCGATGGGGATAGGAAGAAATTAATGGCTGCCTTTTACTATGCTTCCTTGTGTTTTTTCGTCAATAATATGGGTTGGTATATGACACGTTTGATTGTTATTAACGTTTGATTGTTTTTTCGTCTAAAATCGCTCGTGCCTCAGCTTCAATTGGAGACGAACAAATAATCCTTCCAGCCTTTCCATCCCAGATCTGTCCATCAGAGTTAGTAATAACTACTCCAAAAGCCGCCTCCTGCGTAGCAACATCAAAGGAGCCATCACAGTAAATCCTCTGTTGAGGATGAAATGGCGGTGGACATGAGAGAGATGGAATTTCCCTAGGCTGATTGAAGGTTGAAGAAGAAAAGGGGGTAAGATGAGGCTCCGCTGCTTCACGAAAAGCAAAAATCGAGGTCCTCGTCGGGGACGGGACAACTCCTTTGAAAACAAATTCATTGCGGGCCTTCCAAATATTCCACAGGCAGAAAATCTTCTGTCGACAAACTTCCCCATTTCCTTCTTCACGCAAGGAGAAGATCCATTGGGAGATATTCTGAGGGACGACATTGGACGGGAACAACGTCCTCCAAGTTGCTTCCGCATGCGAACACAAGAAAAGGCAATGGATTGGTGATTCCTCCTCTCCGTTACACAGTTGGCATGTCGTATTGGGAGAGCACTTCCGCCGGAATAAATTGAGCTTAGTTGCCAGAGCATTGCGAATGCACCTCCACATAAAGAATCTAATTTTCGGCGGGAGGTTCAACGACCACAACCATTTCCATTTATCGTCATCGGCCGGTAGATTCAGATCATTCGGCATGGGCTGGTTCACCTCTTTAAGATGATTCCGAAAACCATGATACGCCGTTCTCACCGAAAAACTCCCTGTTGAGTTAAACTTCCACACCCATTTGTCGGGTGCTCCGTTCGGGCCAATCTGAATCCGTGAAATCACATCCGCCTCTTCCGGGGAGCAGTGCCGATGGATGAGGTTCATGTTCCATCTTTTGCCATCTTGACACATCCAATCACGAACGCGGGAAGGGGGATCCAAAAGCGAAGAGATGGTATGCCCTTGAATAGGATGCACCCATGGATCCTTGTGAAACCACGTATCCTCCCCAGACCCAATCACCCGAATCGTTCCCAAGTCTAAAGCTTTCCTCGACTCCCACAAACTCGACCAGATCCACGATGATGTGCTCCCTTTCCTGGCCGTCAAAAAGTCTCCATTTGGGTAATAAAGCCCTTTCATCAGTCGAGCCCATAGAGCATTTGGTTCTGTGATTAGGCGCCATCCCTGTTTTGCCACCAACGCCATATTGAACAGCTGAAAGTTCCGAAAACCCAGCCCACCTTCCCCTTTAGGATCGTTAAGAACATCTCCTTTCCGCCAAGGAATGGATCGTTTCTTCATCGAGCCCGACCAGAAAAACCGATGTATGAGTGAGTCCATCTTCTTTGTCAATGAAGTAGGAAGAAGGAAAACATATTGGGCCATAGTTGGACTTGGCGGTGTGATGATTTGCAAGTTGGAAAAAAGGTTATTATGCTATATAAAAGTCATGTTTATGCAGCAGCTTGATTAAAGTCTTAAACATAAACAACTCTAGCTAGCAATAAGTATAGTGACCTGATCAGGGTTGGTCGATCCGCGGGCTCGGTTGTTGAGTGAAGTAGACATAAGCACCTACATACATACACTATGATCCTACAATTTGATTTGGATTTTAACAGGAATAGACGTAAGATCGCGATTATCCTTTCCTTTCGTGACGGTCTAGAGGAGACTATAATGATAAGTAGGGGTGTGAGGAGAGGACTGAGGAGTGGAAGAAGTTTCTTTTGTTAGCGCTTTTGGGTACTAGTTAGTTTGTGATGATGAACGGCCTTTTCCAAGGTACAAAAAGTTGACAGGGGCTAGGTTTCTGTTTCTTTTAAGAGTGATTGACGAGTCCTGCTGCAGAAGAGTATAGTGGTTTTTGCAGGCAGGTACGGTACACAAAGAGAGTCCTGTCCTGCCTGATGCCAGTTTCATCATCTATCTTCTTCTTCTCTTATCTTTGTAGACTGGGCGGCTAGTGAGACGTCATTTTCTGACTTCATTTTAACTATCTACCTTATTTGATTTTAATGGCTACCTCCTGTTCTATTTCCCTCCATCCAATGTTCCATCTGGCGCCAGAATTCGAAACCCAAAACAATCAAACATTTCACAGATGATTAGTACTGGTAAACCCATAATGCGATTGGTGAATCAACTGTTTCTTGTTTTGTCCAAAGGCACGGAGAGCCCTCAAGGCGTTGAGAGCACTGGTCAGGCTACAGGCACTGGTAAGAGGCCACATTGAGCGGAAGAAAATAGCAGCTTGGCTGCAGCAGATGCAGGCAGTGTTGCGAGCTCGCGTCGGACGATTTCAACTCTCCGAGTCATCCCAGTCAAGCGGCGGCAAATCTTCTCATTCTCACCACCACCACCAGGTAAACAAACTAAACCCACTTTCTCCAGGCTTTACCTTTTGAAACAGCGTTAAAGAAGAAAAGTTAGACCTTTTACTACTTGTATGAATGTGTTTGCGGGGAAAGCTCCTTTATTTAGGAAATGCAGCCAGCAGCCAAAGCCATCAGTATATAGAAAAGTTGCGCTGTCTTCCTGTTGAAGTTACTTTTGGTCTTTCAACCATTGTTTGTGCAGTGAGTGAATAGTTGTTTGTTGGTTTCCATAAAAAGAACAGATGTTTGTTGATGTCTTGATGATACTGAATTTAATTTGGGCTGGCTGCAGAGTCCAGCTACCCCTGAAAAATTTGACCATGGAAACCGTACCAAGAGTGGCAAATATGAACCTTCATCATTACTCAAGGTAAAAACATAGTCCTGCTTTCACAATGCACATAGTTGTGTTCATCGTGTCTGGTTTCTAGTCTGATTGCATTACTTTTTGAATAGCAGAGGAATGGGTCAAGATCCAACGACAACATGCCACATTCCTCCCTAAGAAGGGCAGAAACTCGATCAGACCGCGGTTCGTGGGACCCTCTAGCAGTGGTGATGGAGGAGGATGAAAAGAACCGCAGCTACAAGATCCTGGAAATCGACAATGGCGGAGGGAGACACCATTACCACCATCACAGCCAGAATAGACGAAGGAACAAGTTCCACTCGGCCAACCTAAGCTTCTTCTACGACCAGTACAGTCACAGTTTCATTACATCAAAGGACACATGTCCAAGCCCCACCTCCGGCGAAGTCCAGTCCACAATGTACCCTCTGGAGGTTGTCGACCAGGAAGTGTTCTGCACTGCAGAGAACAGCCCGCAGGTGTTCTCTGCTGCATCTTCGCGTGGTGGGAAGAAGAGTCCATTCACTCCCACGAGGAGCGACGTGTCGAGAAGCAGTTTTCTGAGTGCATTTGCAGACCACCCGAACTACATGTCATATACCGAGTCAGCTAGGGCGAAAGCGAGATCATTGAGTGCTCCGAAGCAGAGGCCGCCTCAGTATGAAAGGTCAGGTTCTGGCAAGAGGTTAGGAGAACCGAGATCAAGCAGTGCGCAGAGGGCTTCTTCTGTGAGAGCAAGCTTCTCGAGTAAAGGTTACCCTGGTTCGGGCCAGTTGGACAGGATGGGAATGCCCATGTGGCAGAGATGCTAGCTTCAGCAATAGAATTTGTAGCCTTAGGCTAACTTGTTACAAAGAGGTAGCTTAGCTTGATTGAATGATTTGTAGTGTTTGCTTTTTGTCATTGGACCAAGAAATCTCTCTAATGTTATTAACATGCTTTTGTCTCCAAGATTGAAGGCATTTGTCTACAGGTCTAGATTCAAAAAAGGGCCAGCTTGGAATGGGGGATTTGGGAGGTGTGTACAATGAAGGAATGGGGACAAGAGACTATCTGTCGGGGGATGTCTCGACGATGTAACAACTATGGAAGGTGTCATGTTTGTTTTTGCAGAAATGGATGCAACTCTATTGGATCAGATCTTATATTGAAAGATGGGAACAAAACATTGAGTAGTAGACACGCCATGGGACTTAGTACTTGAAGAAACATGGGATTTGATTTCAGATATGCCCCCCCACGTTTCAACCACCACTCGTCATTGCAAATTAGTTGCTAGAACATGGCCATGTCTAAGAATAATGGATGGGAATCAATTATAACCTCTGTCAGCTATATGAACCAAGGAAACTGGAAAGAAATTTCCCGTAGAAAGCCTGTCTGTACATGATACTTCGCTGCTTATATGTTCACTGAAAAAAGCTATATGCATAACGCATGTACATAAAAAAAAGGTAACCAAGATGGAAGCAACAAAGTGGGTAAGGAATAAAACAAAAGAATTGAAGACTGGGGAGAAAGATTTATATAGACTGTGATACTGAGAGACACGGGAACATGAACTGAGATACTCTCAGTGCTAACAGTCCCATCGCGAAGTCGGCACACAGCTCAGGTAATGACACCAGCTGCAGCGATCGTTTCCATTCTCTCCTTTGAACAGCATCACCAACCCAACAACGAAACTGTTGAAAAGAACGAGAATAGCTAAAATAGTTAGTTCCTTTTTCAAGTGTATGAATACTGGAGGAGATGCTAAGCATTTAGTGTGGTTTAGAACTTACCCAACAATAAGGAGCACTGCGGAGATCAGCCAGAACACATATTGGTAAGCCTTGTGCTTGGATTTAACACGGGCGCCAGGTGGGAGGTGTCGGCTTTCAACCCAACCGAACTGTGGGCGGATCAGAAACACAAAGCCAAGTAGGAAACCAGCCAGGAAGCCCCCGATGTGGGCAAAGTTGTCTACGTGTGGAAGTATACCCACTGCTAAGTTGATGACGATGATGACCAGTAGTGTGAGCAGAGCAGCAATCTGTTGGAATGACGACATGTAAAAGAGCGGTAAATCAGTAGAGTGAGAGGCTTCATTCCACTGATAAATTTGAAAGTTAACAAGCATACCTTATTACTGTAGATAGTCCAGTTGGTAAGCAGCTCGGATAACATGGCTCCCAGCAGTCCAAACAGAGCACCAGAAGCACCAACTGAGATGTTCTTCTGAATGAATAATGCAGACAATATGCTCCCACCGAGTCCCGCCAACAGGTAGATTATTCCAACACGCACTGCCATATGAAGAATGCACTAGTTAGAATGCTTGAGTTCAAAATGCACAGAAAATTACAGAGGAGAACACCCTATGTGGTGGTGGTGGATGCTCGGATATATCACACTTAGTAAGTGACCATAAGTTACTTTCCATCTATGTATAACACATGCAAGGGCATGGTAACCCAATCTTCCCATATGACTACCAAACATCAAGGCAAACATCTGCTTTAAGAATATTTTGACTGCAGGAACCAGAAGAGCAGTAATTGCTAAATGGGAGCATCACATACCGAATCCGAATTGCTGCTCAAGTCGAATGCCGATAAAGATCAAGCTCAACATATTCGCAAGAAGATGAATGACTCCAGCATGCAACCACATGCAAGTAACAAGTCTCCATCCTTGATGCTTATGCACTACTCTATCCCATTCCAAGGCTCCCATTTTTTCCAGTCTGCAAAAGTGATAATAAGAGTCGTAAATGTCTATAAAATTTGACATAGTAATTATCTGATGGGGCCATTCATGTACCCATCCAGAGCAAATATAGAAAAATGAATCACAACAAGGGAGCGACTAGACGTACCAGTGTGTACTTCAGAAACCAAAACAAAATACTCAATGAAAAGCCCATAGGAACACGCACACGGAGTGAAAATTTTCTACAATTCAAGTGTCTATCTTACATATCGGTTACCTAAGTGTACACAAACATATCCAATCTCAGACACTGCTGAGAGAATCAAAGAAAGACAAACAGCAGGGCCAGTTAGTTAAACCCAAAGTAAACCTTACCACATGTTGAATACCTAGGTAGGATGAAACAAGAAGCATTAGAAGATACAAACATCAAAAGACTGACTCCATTATAGTGTTCCAGCTCACTTCAACTCAATTAAGAGAAACTAAATCACTCAATTATACACATCCAGGAAAGCAACCTCAAATCACACAGATTCGGCAACTCCATCTGATGCACAGACTATAGAACCATTGATGCTTCATCTGTTAAAGAGTCCACTAATTTTGGTACTTCAAAACCAAGATGACAATTAGCCCTATGAACCTGTAAGTTCCGTATACTTAATTATGAAGCTAGCAAAACTCCCTAGATGAACATAATTCCTAACCAATGACCAAGTATAGCAAAACAAACATCACAGCCACCATTGACACAAAACCAGATCAATCACGAACTTCCACATAACAATTTCAAATTCTGTCATTCTCAATTCCGCAAAAGCAAATCCAATAGATTCAACACTAAATCAGAGCAACCCCAATCAAAGAAGAAGAAAATCATTAAAAAGCCTGCACCCAACTTTCAACAGAAAGAGGAGGCAAAAAGTAAACGATTGGGGAAAAAGTGGAATCTCAGGAACTCACGTAGAAGATGATGGCCCAAAAAGAGGATTCTCCCTCAAAGGCTGAAACGATAACCTCCCAAGGAACCTAGCTACACACTTCCCTTCAAACCCGACATTGTTGCGAGGACAATTGTTGACATACATGGTCACAATGAACACAGCGACGTTTGCAAACACAAACATGGGCACCAGCCATGAAGTCCAATGCTTCTCGGAAGTGTCGACATAGTAAGGAGCCAAGCTGGTAGTATTCCCTCCTCCTCCGCCGTTCTTCCTCCCTCGCTCCAGATCCTCCGCCGGCATATTTCCTCCCCCGAAAATTCCCCTCTTTGTACTACAATTGCAGAGCACGAAGACAGAGTTTCGAGAACTGGGAATTGCGGAATCGGAGCAGCTGCAGTATATAGAATTGACGGGGAACCCAAGAAGTGGCTTGAAAGGGAGAAGAAGTTAAGAGAGGCGGAATTCAGAGGAGTCCAGAACAAGTGGGGGAAAAGGGGGAAAGATTGCTTTTCCAGGGAAGATTTAGGTGGGCGGAAGTGTTTTTAGGTTGTGGGTACTTTGGCGTAAGGAAATAGCGTTGGTGTGGTGGGTCGAAGAAGATTTCTGTTCTGTTCTGTTCTGTTCTCTCTCCCGCTCTATCTCTTTGTTGGAAGAGTGAGGTAAGCGTGCGGTGGCAGTGGGCAATGGCGGTGGTGGTTGGAGAGATCGCCGGTTGGCGAGTCGACGTTGCTCTCGCTGTCCCTATTGCTATTCCTTTTTCTCGCGAGAAGGTGGGGTTTTGGTAATTCTCCAGCTTTTCTTTTCGACGCGTTAATGAAGAGTTCGTTGCGTGGTGACAGATCACACGAAATTAAATTAGTACCATCAGCACCCTTTTACCTTTTAATAAAAGATAATCTGATAATCATGTCTATTGATAATAATTGATTAGAAAAATAGATAGTTACATTCTGGAATTAAACAAGGCTAGAAAATCAAATAAACGACATGTAGTTGGATACAATGAAAAAGAACTTCTAGTCACCAAATGGGTTATCCTATTGCTGATCCAACTTACAAATCGCACATTAAACCCACTATGACTCGCGAAACAATGCACGACCTTCTCGAGAATGGCCCCCATCCGATAATCTCTGGTCTCAGCACGATTGATTTTGTCAATGACCACTTTGGCATCGCCTTCAAACCTTGTCTCCGTAAATCTCTGACTTAGACACTAGAGAATAGACTACCGGAAAACAAGCAACTCAACAACCATAAGATCATCAATTTCCGAAAATTGTACCCCTTTTGCCAAGGACTTCTCCATCTTGATTCGGAATAATCATCCCACTTGCCGAGTGTGATCCACATTTAGTTGCCACATCCCACATACAGACTACCGCATTTTGATGTACAACACCCAAAGGCCGTGTTTGTGGGTTGGATAATTGGAAACCACGATATATTGGCAAACTAATCCACTTTTGGGATTGTTGGTTGAATTGTCTCATTAGAGCAGGATCCCAAACTGTTTTCCCTCAAAGACAACCCAGTTTCGTGATTGTCATATCCTTCAAAGGACTGCCACAACCGCCATGAACAGTTGAGGTTGACTTATGAGTAACATCAACGTCTTTAGGAAGAGTGGGAAAGTGTGACGAGACAGTACTTGACCAAAATATTCGAGTCCCGAATAATCCCATAAAGCACTGGCCACTGGGCAACCAAGAAACAAATGTTCTATTGTTTCTGATTCGGCCCAACAAACCAAACATCTGGGAAGCACCTGAACATCTTTCTCGATGAGGGCTTTTGTCGTTGACACGATACGGTTGAAAATTTTCCAAACAAACACTTTCAATTTGGGTGAATATTGGTTGCTCATAATCTGATCCCGTTGGATCTGTCCATCTAACAAGCCATGGATCTCCACCGACCACCCTACTTATCTAACAAGACAACAAAATGATAGGTCGATTTAATCATGAAAATCATGTCAGTCGTGCCATGCCAGATCAATCTATCATCCACCTCTAGACGAGAGAGAGGAATCGATTTGATGACACGACAAGTTGTCGGGTCAAACCACTAGCTAAGTTTCTAGTCACACCAGCGCCCCTCCCCTTGACAAATAACCTCAGCCACCGGCAGGTCTCCTCCTTCGGGTAGCACCTGGGGGTTATACA